TTTCATGGATTCCAGAGAGGGAGAGGGAGAGAAACATGGATGTGTGAGAGAAGCATGGGTTGGTTGCCTCCTGTCCACACCCCAACCAGGGATTGAACCTGCAACCCTTTTGTGCACAGGATGCTCTAACCAACTGAGCCATAGTGGCCAGGGCGAGAGCAGCAATGTGAAACCCTTTGCACACATAGATCAAAAGGGAGTCATTTTCAGATGAACATAAAGGGTCCATGAGGTCTGATTCTGGCACTTTAAGCCTAGAATTAAAGGTGGGGCAGGAGGCGGAGATGGGTGAGGCTGCTCCAGGGCAGAGGGCTCCCTTCTGGCTGGTGTGTGCAGGGCCTCCGGGGTGCATGGCGGCGACCTGACACCGGGAGCCTCCCTCTCTCCTTGTTCCTTTTGGCGCCCACTGGGGGAGACACTTGCCAACGAAGCATCGCAAATAGTGGGGGCTGGACAGGTCTCCTTAGAGATGGGAGCCAGGCACAGGTTCCTAAACACGGATCTCAAATTTCTGGCCAGGAGCCCCATCAGTGTGTGCACGGTCCAGTCCTTAAAGGAACGCGGGGGCCACTACCCCTGTGAGCCTGTCTTCCGCTTGCATCAGAGTCCAGCTCCGTTTCCCAAGAGAAGCAGATAATTGTCATTCAAGTTCAGCGAAGGAGGGTGGGGCGGGTGGTGTGGCACATGTGACTTCCCAGGACCCTCCCAGGATCTGGGACGACCCGGCCATGGGCCTCCCCGGGGCCTCCTTTATCTACCCCAGGTCTGGTGCTGGTTGGCACAGCAGCTCCAGGGGAATGGACGGGGCAGGTAGCCTCTGTCAACTTCCTCCATGGGCCGTCGGGGTAGGCAGGTGTGACATTCAGAGCAGCTGCAGCCACTTTGGGGCAAGAGGAGCGCAGCACCCCCATGACCAAGGCGGGGCCAGATGGGAGACCCTGGTTCAGCCCACTCCCTGCCCCCTCTGGTGGGGGAACAAGCACCCTATGTGGTCAGCCTTCTGATATCCCCACCAAAGACACCCATGTTTGTTCCCTGAGGGTTTGGAGCCACCTGACCTTGGGACTTTTTGTTTGTGTGACTGTACACTTTTCCTTATTGTTTAAGTCTAGGTTTGGGTGTTCTGTCCTTGTGGCTGAAAGGATCCCATGAAGTATCTCTGTGTGAGTGTGTGTGCATGTGTGTGTGTAGGCAGCGGACTCATCAGGAGAGAACAGAAAGATGCCCGGAGGCAGCCTCTCAGAGAAGCTTGAACTGAATCTTAAAGCATGAGGAGGAGTTGGCAGGTGGCCGGGGATGGGGTTTCAGAGGGAACCGCGTGAACAAAGACAGAGGCGTGGGCTTGTTCCAGGAAGTGTACTTGGATGGGGCGGGATACACAGCAGCCGCACAGCAGTGAGATAAGGCCGAGGGTTTTCATGGATTCCAGAGAGGGAGAGGGATAGGGAGAGGGAGAGAAACATGGATGTGAGAGAGGAGCATGGGATGGTTGCCTCCTGTCCACACCCCAACCAGGGATCGAACCCGCAACCCTTTTGTGCACATGGTGCTCTAGCCAACTGAGCCACAGCGGCCAGGGCGAGAGCAGCCATGTGAAACCCTTTGCACACATAGCAGCCTCTCAGAGAAGCTTGAACTGAATCTTAAAGCATGAGGAGGAGTTGGCAGGTGGCCGGGGATGGGGTTTCAGAGGGAACCGCGTGAACAAAGACAGAGGCGTGGGCTTGTTCCAGGAAGTGTACTTGGATGGGGCGGGATACACAGCAGCCGCACAGCAGTGAGATAAGGCCGGGGAGGAGGGCCTGGGCCTCCCGCGGAGGCTGAGGGGCGGGAACCCGGTCCTGGGCTCTGTCAGCTCTGGGACCGCCTGTGGCTGAGGGGGCGATGGCCAGGCCATCAGGGAGGGGCCGAGGCTGAGGAGGCTGAAAGCCAGGGGTCAGGGAGTCGGCCCAGCCGTGGGCTACACAGTCTTCAAGGCATCGCTGGTCCCACAAAAGGCAGAGAAAGGTCTCGAGGGACCACCCACGCCCCATAAAGCAGCAGAAACGGGCCCAGAGCAGCAGCTGCGGGATGCAGGATGCTGGAGTGGCCCAACCCGGAGCAGCGAGACCAGTCCACCTACGAGGCACGGACACGGGGGCCCCTAAGCTAGCTGACCCTGTGCGTGCCCCCACTGGACACGAGGAGCAGGTCCCTGGAGGGGGACAGAGAGCAGGGACCACACACCCGGAGGCTGGAAGCTAAGCAGCAGATAGGGGCCTGGGTGGCAAAGTGGAAAGTGCCGCCTCATCCCACTTCCCTAGGAGGCCCCGTGTTGTCCTCAGAGGAGGCGGACTGTGACGCTTCCCCGTCCTCCCAGCAGCTGCGTCCGTAGGAGCCCAGATGCCACCTTCCCAGAGGGTCACAGGTGCTGGGCATCCAGCGGGGGATGCTCCGGGGGCTGTTCAGGGACCTTCCTTTCTGAAGCAACTGCTTCCTTCTGGTCCCCGGCTGGAGCTGGGACAGGAGCGTCATCTAGAGACCAAGGGAGGGAAGGTAGCACTAGACACCCTCATCCTCCTCCCTCAGACCCAGGGGTCCAGGCCCCCGGCCCCTCCTCCCTCAGACCCAGGGGTCCAGGCCCCCGGCCCCTCCTCCCTCAGACCCAGGGGCCCAGCCCCAGCTGCCTCTTTCCTAGATGTCTATCCTAGGCTCCCAGGACCACCTGGGTGCAGGGCCAGCACCTGTGTTGTGGGGCTGGAACATGAGCTGTCTCTCGGGGCCAGGGGCTGGGGCATTGTGGCCTTGCTGCTGCTGCTGCTGCTGCTGCTGTTTCCGCTGTTCCATTTGCAGAACCGCCTGTGGGGGGGTGGGGGGCGGTTACACAGGCAAGAGGGCGTGAATTTCCCCATCCTGCCACGTGCTCATAGTCCTTTCTCTATGGGGCTTAGTTCTTCCTCATTGACAGTTGGGTTGAATAACGACCCCGTGCAGCCTCCCTCGTCATGGCCCGGGTTGCACCTTGGGAGAGAAAAGCCCTCCTGGTCCCGCTTTTCCCACTTTCGCCCTTTCACACCCCTGCCCTTATCCAACATGGCAGCTGCGGAGCCGTCAGGGCGGGACTTCCGCCCTCACTCAAGATGGCGACCGCCATATGCGGACCAATCGGTGATTACACAGGGACCAAAGGCTGCCCAGCTTCCGGGTGCCCAGGCCCAGGCCCCAGGGGCTGGAGGGCAGCAGAAGCCGGAGGAGTCACCTGCTGCAGCTCTCGCTTCTGGGCCTCCAGGCGGCCCTGGGAGCGCCCCAGAGCCTCGGTTTCCTGGCTGAGGCGCTGCGCCTGGGCGTTCAGCTCGGCCTCCCGGGCCGCCAGCTCCTCCTCGAAGCGCCTCAGCTCCTCCTCCGTGGGCGGGGGGCA